TGTTTTTGTGGGTTTTCCTGTTTTTTTCTTGTAATTAATTTCTGGTTTCATACCATTGTGGTCAGAAAAGACGCTTAATATGATTTCACTCTTTTTTAATTTATTGAGATTGCTTTGTGGCCCAACATGTGGTCTGTCCTGGAGACTGTTCCATGTGCAATTGAGAAGAATGTGTATTCTGCCACTTTTGGGTGGAATGTTCTATATATATCAAGTCCATCAGGTCTAATGTGTCATTTAAGGCCAGGGTTTCCTTATTGATTTTTTTGTCTGGAGGATCTATCTCTTGATGAAAGTAGGGTATTAAAGTTTCCTACTGTTATTGTACTGCTTTCAATTACTCCCTTTAGGTCTGTTAATAATTGCTTTATATATTTTGGTGCTCCTGTGTTGGGTGCATATATATTTATAAATGTAATATCTTCTTGCTGGATTGACCCCTATATCATTATATAATGCCCTTCTTTGTCCTTTATTATAGTTTTTGTTTTATTTTTATTTATTTTTTTAAAGTAGGCTCTATGCCTACGGTGGAGCCCAGAATGGCGCTTGAACTCATGACCGTGAGATCAAGACCTGAGCTGAGATCAAGAGTCAGACACCTAACCAACTGAGCCACCCAGAAGCCCCTTATAATCTTTGTTTTAAAGTCTATTTTATCTGATAGGAGTATAATTACTCCAGCTTTCTTTTCATTTCCATTTGCATGGAATATCTTTTTCTAACCCTTCCCTTTCACTCTGTGTGTGTCTTTACATCTGAGTCTTATAGGCAGCATATAGATAGATGGGTCTCATTTTTTTATCCATTCAGGCACTCTGTGTCTTTTGATTGTTGAATTTAGTCCATTTACATTTAAAGTAATTTTTAATAAGCATATACTTACTGCCATTGTGTTAATTGTTTTCTGGCTATTTTTGTAGTTCCTCTCTGTTCCTTTCTTTTTCTCTTCCCTTGTGGTTTGCTGGCTTTCTTTAGTGTTATGTTTAATTCCTTTCTCATTTTCTTTTGTGTATTAACTGTAAGTTTTTTCCTTGTGGTTACTGTGAGCGTCACACAAAATATTTTATGCAAATAGCAGTCTGTTTTAACTTGATAGCAACTTAAACACAATTCAGAGCTTTACCTTTTTACTTTTCCCCCCACATTTTTTATTTTTGATGATTCCTTTTTATATCTTTTTATTTTATGCTTCCCTTAACTAATTATTGTAATTTCAGTTTACTACTTTTGTCTTTTAACCTTCATGCTTGCTTTATAAGTGATTGATCAATACCTTTGTTATATAGTTACCTTTTCCAGTGAGATTTTTACTTTCCTATGTTTTCTTACTACTTAGCTTAAAGAAGTCCCTTTACCATTTATTGTAGGGCTGGTTTAGTTGTGATGAATACCTTTAGCTTTTGCTTACATGGAAAACTCTCAGTCTCTCAAGTTCTGAATGATAACTTTGCTAGGCAGAGAATTTGGGTTGGAAGTTTTTTCCTTTCAGCACTTTGTATATGTCATGACAGTCTTCTGGCATGTAAAGTTTCTACTGAAAAATCTGCTTACATAGCCTTCTAGTGTTTCCCTTGAACATAACAAGTTGTTTTTCTCTTGTTGCTTTTAAGATTCTCTCTTAATCCTTAACTCTTACCATTTTAATTATGATGTATCATGGTTTGGATCTCTTTGGGTTCATCTTATATGAAACTCTGGGCTTCCTGGACCTGGATGTTCAGTTCCTTCCCCAGATTAGGGAAGTTTTCAGCTATTCTGAAATCATAATTGTACTCTCCATCCCCTTCACCTGTTATACTCATTCCCCCACTGCCTCCTCTCTGGCAGCCACTAGTTCTGTATAGTTAAGAGTCTGTTTTTTTGTTTTTGTCTCTTTTTTTCTTTGTTTTGTTTCTTAAAATCCACATATGAGTAAAATCATATGGTATTTGTCTTTCTCTGACTGACTTATTTTGCTTAGCATAATACTCTCTGGATCCATCAGTGTTGTTGCGAATGGCAAGATGTCATTCGTTTTTATGGCTGGGTAATATTCCACTGTGTATATATAACATATCTTCTGTATCCATTCGTCAGTCATGGACACTTAGGTTGCTTCCATATCCTGGCTATTGTAAATAGTGCTGCAATAAACACAGGGGGTGTATATATGTTCTCCAATTAGTGTTTTTGTATTCTTTGGGTAAATACCCAGCAGTGGAATTACTGGATCGTATGGTAGTTTTTTTTTTAACTTTTTGAGGAAACTCCATACTATGTTCCCACAGTGGCTGCACCAGCTTGCATTTACACCAACAGTGTACAAGGGTTCTTTTTGGTTTTTTGGTGTTAAGATGTATAAGGTCTTTATATATTTTGGGTATTAACCCCTTATTGGATACATCATTTGCAAATATCCTATTCAGTGGATTGGTTTTTTTTGTTTTGTTGATGGTTTCCTTTGCTGGACAAAAGTTTTTTATTTTGGTGTATTCCCAGTAGTTTTAATTTTGCTTTTGTTTCCCTTGCCAAAGAAGACACATCTAGAAAAATGTTTCTACCACAGATGTCAAAGAGATTACTGCCTATGTTTTCTTCTAGTTTTATGGCTTCAGGTCTCACATTTAGGTCTTTAACCCATTTTGAGTTTAATTTTGTATATGGTGTAAGAAAGTGATCTGGTTTCATTGTGTGTAGCTGTCCAGTTTTCCCAGCACCATTTTTGAAGAGAGTTTTTCCCATTGTATCTTCTTGCTTGCTTAGATTATAGATTATACCATAGATTATACCATACAACATTATTACAGTATTATTGACTATATTCCCTACGCTGTGCTTTTCATCTCCGTGACTTTATTTTATAACTGGAAGTTTGAACCTCTTCATCCCCTTTATCTGTTTCACTCATCTTAATTTTTTATTTTTATTTTGCTGTTCTGTCTGGGCAAGTTCCATTGCTTTGTCTTCCAGCCTGCTGATGCATTCTTATACTTCATCCAGTCTGCTGTTGAACCCTTCCAATGTATTTTTCAAATTTCTGTTCAATACTTTCTTATATTTTCTATATCTTTGCTTAAGTTCTCATTGTGTTCAACCAGTTTTCTACTGAGTTCACTGAGCATCTGTATGATAATTTCTTTGAACTTTTTATCAGGTTGGTTGCTTATCTGTGTTTCATTTAGTTCTTTTTCTGAGATTTTGTCATGTTTGTTTGTTTGGAATGTATTACTCTGCCTCCTCATTTTGCCTAATTCTTTGTGTTTGTTTCTATGTATGAGGTAAGTCAGCTACCTCTCCCAGTCTTGAATGAGTGACCTTACATAGGAGATGGTACTATTTGGCCCAGAAATACAATCTCCCAATCACCAAAACCAGGAGCTCAAGGGGTGTCCCCTTGGTGGGCTGTGTGCGCCCTCCTGTTGTGGCAGGGCCTGGGGCTGTGGTTGGTGGGCTATGCTGACACTTGGGCTGCAGGCTGTGTCCACAACTTCTGCAGGGTGTCTTTGGGCAGAGTGCTCTGCAGGGTGTTCCCACTGTTAATAGAATGTTAGAGGAATTCCAAAATAATGCACACCAGCACCCACATTAGTAAGGTAGACTTGAATCACAAAAATTGCTCCCACTGGTGTCAGTTTCCAGGGAGAGTCCCTGTTGTTTCCAGCCTCTTCGGGCAGACGCTCTTAAGGTTAGCAAATGATTCTCCTTTATCTGTGGTCTATGTACTATTCAAGTTGGTGTTTTACACTGGTTTCTGGGTTGAGCGGGTCTGTGTGTGGGCCCTTTAAGAGCAGGTTTTCTGTTCCCTGCAGCTTTATAGTCTTCCTCAAGGTGATCCCTATTGATTTTCAGAGCCTAGTGTTTTGGGGGCTCGTCTCTTCTGTGCAGGATCTGAAGATTTGGGTGCCAGGTGTAGAACTCAGGTACCTTTGATCCTCTGGGAAAAGTCCACACTTTTGATGTCCCTCCCAATTGTGACCCACCATAGCTGGGGTTTGTTTTATTCCCTAGCAAGTCTGTGTTTCTGCTGCTATCCTTCTATTCTTTGTTGTGAAGGCTCTGTTCATTGAACTTTCAGGTACCTTTCAGAAAGAATTATTCCACAGCTAGTTGTAGGTTTGTTGTGTCTAGAGGAGGTGAGTTCAGGATCTTGTTACACTGCCATCTTGAACCCAGCTCCTTAGGTTACATCTTTACTGCAACCACCACCAGGGTTAAAGCAATGCCATATACAGGATGAATTAGAAGACAATTTAGAATAACCTAATTGGTCACTTGGATGGCCACTGAGATGGAAAGGAGATAGCAGTCTCACCCAAGACACTGGAAATAAAAACAGGGAAGACCGATGCCAGAAGTATTGGCAGGACTTGGAAACCAGTAGGACTTGTAGGTGAGGGGAAGGAAAGAACAGCTAAACTTGGGAGACTGGGAGGTTGATGATAACAGGCATAGCAGGTATGAAGGAAGGAAAGGGGGAGTTTCTTGAAGAGGCATGCCATGTTTGAGCTGCTGCTGGTACACCTAGATGGAGATGTCCAAAGGCAGTTTGCAATGTGGGCCTGAAGCATGAAGAGATCTAGGGTCACAGATTGGACTGGTAACATGCCTGTAATGAGGTCACCAAATGAGATAAGATGAAGTCTCACTGTGGAGCTTTGTAGGTTGAATGAATGTCTGCATTAAAGGGCCTGCCGGGTAAGAAGAGCCAACAAAGGCTCTTCTGACCCTGTGTTCTGTAGTCTGTGACAGTTTTGTTCTATAGAATATGGGACATGGGAGGTGGACAGCTACTGCTCTTACAAGTTTATGTGTTATAAAAGAGACATCTGGTGGATTACTGGATAAGGTTTATTCCTTAGGAAATCTTCCGCAGATACACAAACTAAAAAGGAACAAACAAAAATAAATAAGAATGTACATTTTGTTAAATAACCAAGTTTAAAAATGGAATATGTGTTATGGGAACTATATATTATTATTGCTCTTTACTAATTCTTTTTTCCCCCTTTTTTCTCTAGATTTTACATTGTGCAGTAGGTAAGTATGGAATTCCCCCCTACTATGTACAGTGGGTTCTGCTTTTTTTAGAAGTCATAAATAATAGGTCAACTTGATTATGACTTAATATTGAGAAAACAAAGCTATTTAATTGTTGTATATAAAATTGCTTACATTGGCATGGCTTCTGGTGTCTTAAATGACAGGTACTACTTAGATGTTATCACTGAACCATTTATTAAATGTCACAGCTGTTTCACTGTGTCAATTTAAAGAGGCCCCTCTCATCTTGTTATAAGGGTGACAGAAGCACTAGCATATTCATTAAAATGTGACTTGGGGTCCTGATTCTGGGCTATGTATAAAGCCCTCTCTGTGATCACTTGAATATTACATGCTTTTTCCTTGTGTTTAAAATGGAGTACTACATATATTGCCTATCTCCCAGATGAATACTGAGTGAAGGTAAGAGGGATTGGTAAAATCTAAGTATAGAGAGTTATATAAATGTAAGGGATTTCTACTAAAAGCAGATGCAGTGTGTTTTCTTTTGGGGGGAAGGGGCAGGTCATCAAATTCGGCTTCAGAACCGAGGTATAGCTTCTTCTCTGGGGTGGGCTAGACCCTTCTAATCAAATCAAAATCAGTTCTGGAAAGTTGACAGATTCTGTAGAGTAAGGCCATGCTGGTTGCTGTGAGTTTGAACTTGTCTCTGAAAGGGAGGATTTACAGTTGACCTCAGGAAGCACCAAAGGTCTGAAAACTCCAGAATCATGCATCCAAACCATTTTGGTCCTGTCAACTTAATTCACAATTAAGTGGGTACTTCCTGTATTCAGGGCACTGTGCTTGGCACTGTGGAATTCAGAGAAGAGGAGACTTAGTTCAGAAGGACACACAGGTGGACACACAGCAAGCTATCCCCTGTAGGTCTTGCAGGGTCACTCTGAAACCTGGCTCCATTAATTTTAAGGAAGACAAAGCATCTTTGTTGTAAACAGCTGCACCTCAGCTAATTTTATGCTAGGAAGAAGGTCTACAGTTGGGTTTCTCATGATTTGCAGAATTTTGTATGCTTGTGTCTATATTTATTTTAGGGGCGGCTGGGTAGAATTCAAAGCTTTCATTAGATTCCCACAGGAGTATGTGATCCCCAAAAGCTTAAAAAACACTACTTTAGAACCTTTAAGCAAGAGATTTGAAAGGGGCTTGGTGGGGCACCTGGGTGGCTCAGTCGTTAAGCGTCTGCCTTCGGCTCAGGTCATGATCCCAGGGTCCTGGGATCAAGCCCCGCATCGGGCTCCCTGCTCGGCGGAGAGCCTGCTTCTTCCTCTCCCACTCCCCCTGCTTGTGTTCCCTCTCTCACTGTGTCTCTCTCTGTCAAATAAATAAAATCTTTAAAAAAAAAAAAAAGAAAGGGGCTTGGAGTCTCATCTGCCACATGGTCTGCTTTCTCAGAGGTTATGGGACTTGGGCTGTGTCACATAGCCAGTAAAGGGGTTTTAGCTGATGTACCATTTCACACACGTTTCCTATTTAATCCTTTATCTACAATTTTGAGATGAACAGTTTTGTCCTTAGATGGTTAAATGAATTTTAAGCATAAGCTTGCAGATTAGGGGATACATTTGGCCAGAGAGCGTTCTGGAACCACGTCAGACCTTTTCCACGTGATTGAACCCTGTGCCCCATTCTCCCCATTCTCTCCATTCTCTTAACCTTCAGCTGCCTTTAGATGCATGTTTTCTGAGCGTGTGTGCTACATTTTAATTAATATTTCTTGTATTTTAATACCCCGATTCCCTTTATCTTAGAATATATTTTCATACCTCTTTGTAAAATTTCCGCCCCTAGAAATAAGTTTCTGAGTATATGTATTCATTCATACCAGGAACATTACTGAATGCCTGGCAGGTGCGTGCCAGACATGGGGTTGGACAGTGAGAGTAGAAAGGTGAGCAGGCACAAGCTTGGGTTTAGGAAACCCCCAGTCAGATGGGCACCCTTCTGAGCTCCTCTGGAGGAGTGCGCTCCAGACTGTTCATGTCACACTCTGATAGTTTGTGGACAAGTGTCCCCAGGGCCTAGCATGGTACCTGACACATAGTAGATATTAAAAATTCCTTTTTAATTCCTCAAGAACCTTGCTCTGTCAGTGAATCTGTCTCCTGCATCCTCACTTTTTGTCATCCACCTTTTCCTTCTCACAGAATGCTCAGGGTATGCCATCCTAAAAATAGTTTTTTAACCTAACCTTTGACCCTACATTCCTCCCTTACCACTACTTAATTCCTTTCTGTCTCTTTTACCAGATTTACGGTGGACTCTTTCCCCTTCCACACTCCCATTAATACCTTAGGCCAGCAGTTGGATCTCCTTGTCCTAGTAAAACTACCCTTTGGTCTAAAATCAGCAACAGTTTCTGCTAAATTCTGAGGACATGTTTGGAACTTACTGGACTTCTCGACTACATAGGGCACCACTGATGACTCCCTCCATGAGGTCCTGCTCCTTTAGTTTCCATTATACTGAGCCGTTCTGGCTCTTTCTTGTCCTTTGTGGTTCTTTTCTTTCTTTGGGGGTTTTCTTTCTCTCCTTGACTCTTCATTGTGGGCATTCCGAAGGTCTGGCCTAACTCTTTGCTCTTCTGACTGAATATGCCCTCTATAGGTGATCTCTTCCCTTCTCATGCTGTGAGATACTTGTGACACCCACTTTTTTAACTCCAAGCCACCCCTGCACCCCAGACTCCAGATCATCCCTTTACCTGCTGGCTATCTGCTTCTGAATACGCACCTCCTTCTCAGTATGAGTCAGATTCCCAGACTTGTTCTGCCTCCCATATTCTCATAGTCAGGGGCACCACCAGCCACCAGCCCATTAGTCACCTAACCTAGACCCAGAGCTCACTCATGGCTCCTCCTCCTCCCTAGCCCCCACTCCCATAGCCAGGTGGCATTCAGATTTTATCATTTCTGTTTCCTGCACATGTTTCAGATTGTCCTGTTTTTTCATCACTATTCAGGGCCTTAGTATGCCTCATCTAGACTCCCATATGGGTCTCCCTGAACTTCTAGGCTTATAATATTAACAGTAATAATAAGAGCCATCATTTATTGAGCATTTACTATGTTCTAGTGCTTTACATTCATTACCTCATTTACTTCCCATTTCACAGGTGACAAGACTGAAGCTTAGGTTTTATTTTTTTCAAGGATTTTATTTATTTATTTTAGAGAGAGAACGTGAGCACAAGTCGGGGGAGGGACAGAGAGAGAGGGAAAAGCAGATTCCTCAATGAGCTCGATTCAGGACCTGAAATCATGACCTGGCCTGAAGTCAGACGCTTAACTGAATAAGCCACCCAGGCAGCCCCTTGGAAGGTTTTATATCTTGCCGAAGTTCACAGGTAATAAGCCCTAGAGCCAGGAATTGAACCTTTGGCTGTGTGACTCTAAACCCATGCTTCACATAGCCCTTGAGGGATTTAGTTAAAGAATAATTCTGAGCTGCTTGTTTTCCTGCTTAAAACCTTTCACTGGTTTCAACTTCTTCATGATTTGGACCCTGCTCGCCTCCCCAGCCTTACCTGTGCCCTGCCTCTCATTCCATGCTTCAGCCACCCTGACCTTTTTGTGAGTCTCCCCTGTTACCGTACTACCGCCCTACTTCCTGCCTCTAGTCTGTGCCAGGCTCTGCTCTCTGTCTGGAATGAGCAGCCCACCCCCTTCGGCTGGCAACTCTTCACCATTCTTCCTCCAATAAACCTACCACGCACTGGCTAGATTAGGCACCATTCTTCACCTTTCTGTAATATCCTGCACTTCACTGTTGTTGTACTTTCTGCCATGTATTATGGTCTATCACTGTACCTGTGTCCCCCACCAACACCACTGAATTTTTTGAGAACTGAGAACTATTTCTAATTGATTCTGTATCCCAGCATCTGACAATACAGGGCGCCTAGTGGGAGCTCATAATCTTACAAATTCTGGTGACATTTGTTTCAAAATATTTTCAGTTCTTTTAAAAAATAAGAATAAACTGTTTCTAGCATTAGTTTAAAGACAGTGCCTTATTTTTTATTCATACAACTCAAGTTTATTTTTGGAATGCTGGTTTCTTTTCTTGTGACTTTGTGAAACTTTTCACTGTAAGAATTTGGTCTTTTAAAACTTGTTTTGGAGCCTTGAGTTTACAGACTGTTTAGTTTACCTACTGTTGATGAAAAGTCCAGACCTCTGTCACACCTGGCTTATTCATCAGCTGTGTGACTTCCAGGAAGTGACTCAATTTCTGTGTACCTTGTTTCTTCCTCAACTAAAGGGGGATGATGCCCACCTCGTAGGGTTGTTGTGCAAATGAAAGGGGACATGCATGAGAAATACTTAGCATAGTGCCTAAAACATGGTAATGCTGAAAACTGCCCCCCAAAATGGGAGCTATGATTATTAACTAAAGCGACGTAATGTCACAGAATGTTAAAGTATAAGTATAACTTTTCCATATTCTTAGTTTTCTTAAATTATAATTTCTGTGTAAGTGAGTGCTTCAGGACCACTTATTCTTAGTTTGGGTTGGAGCTGCTTCTAGTTCACAGCTGTGACAATGCAAGTGGGCAAAAATAGCTCCAGAAACAGTACATTAAAATTCTGTATGAGGGGCTCATTTCTGTGAGAAGTCAAGCCTTCTGTCCGTGCAAAAGGGTTCCCATGCCCCAATTATTCCAAAGTCGGTGGTTTGTTCTCCATTGATAATGTAGAGATGAGAGTTCTGTTTTGGAGTTGGGGGAGTAATTTTGAACACGTATTGGGGATGTATTTTTTTTTTTCTAAGTAAGATATAATTGCCATCTAACACTGTTTCAGGTGTACAACATAATGATTTGATATATGTATACATTGCAAAACGATGACCACAATAAATTTAGTTCATGTCCATCAACTCACATAGTTATACTTTTTTTTCTTGTGATGAGAACTTTTAAGATGACTCTCTTAGTAACTTTCAAATATAAAATACAGTATTAACTATAGTTA